AATACACTGACAGTTTCCTATGGCATACATATTCCTTTGGAGCACTCTTTTACTCTCAAATAAATATCATTACTCTTTGTAGAATCTCTCTCATTTTTTAAGTTGATACAAATATATAAAGACTCTTATAATTCAACAACAAAAAGACAACCCAATTTAAAAATGGGCAAAGGATTTAAATACAGATTTCTCCAAAGAAGATATACAAGTGGCCAGTACACACATTAAAAGATGCTTAACATCATTAATCATTAGAGAAATGCTAATTACAATGGGACACCACTTCACATATACTAACCCGACAATAAATGTTATCAAAGATATTGAGAAACTGGAACCCTAACATGTTCCTGGCCAAAACATTTTATTAATATGAATGTAAAATTATACAGTTACTTGGATAGCAGCTTGACAATTTCTTTCAAAAAGTTTAACATGGTTCAATGGAATAAACAAAGAAAAAAGTTTAACATGGAGTTATCACGTGACCTGTAAATTTCTGGTCTAGGTATTACGCTCAAGAAATAAGAAAATATGGGGCTAGGGTGTGGCTTAGTGTTAGGGCATTGCCTGGTATACACGAGGCCCTGGGTTCATTCTCCAATACCGGAAGGAAGGAAGGAAGGAAGGAAGGAGGGAGGGAGGGAGGGAGGGAGGGGAAGGAAATGGGAAAATGTATGTTTGTATAAAAACTTGTATAAGAACTCTTATAGCAACACTATTTCATAGTAAGCAAAAAGTTAAAACATGTCAAATGTCCACCAAGGGCAAATGAATAAACAAATCCATACAACAGAATATTATTTAGCCAAGAAAAGGAGTGAAGTACTAATTCATGCTACAATATGGATAAATTTTGAAAACATTATGCTAATGTGAAAGAAGCCAGACCCAAAAAAGTTACATAATGCATGACTTCATTTACAGGAAGTATTCAGAACAGGCTAATCTGTAGAAACAGAAAGTAGGTTAGCAGTTGTGAGGCTGGGAGGAGAGGAGAGTGGGGACTGACTGCCAGTGGGTACAGGGCTTCTTTGGGGGAGAATTAAAACGTTCTGGAGTCAGCAGTGAAGATTGTACAACCTCATGAATGTAAAAAACACTGATGTGTGCACTTATCAAGTTAATTTTATAATGTGCATTATATCTCAATATTTTAAAAGCACACACTTAGTGAAGAATGCAATGCTATGCTTACTAGAGGCAAGGCTGGCAGCGGCTAGTGGCTGTGAGGGTCCCCGGCCACAGCCTCGCCTGAGCGCTCTGCGGCACAACCTCTGCTCCAGTCTATTCCCCTACCAGATTCCTCATTCGAGCCCAAGGACAACCCAGGGAGGGCCCTGTGCATCTCAGTAGGCTGCCCAGTCCCACAGGGCATTTGATTCTGAATTTTTCCATTTTCTTAGTTTAAAATTTAAACATCAGCATGGACATATGCTTGGTTTCACAGTTGCTCATCTCAGTGATATGACATGTCTCACTAAAGTACTCATCTTGTTACATTATCTCAAGTAGAACCCCCAGAAATGGAAAAGCTGAGCTGCTTTGGTTGGAATGTACTCTGCAAAGGTTCCTCTGTTGGAAACTGAATCCCAGGTTCCTATACTGATGGTATCTGCAGAGGGGCCTTGGGCAGTAGCCAGGGTTAAATGAGATCTGAGGGTGGGACCCCAGCTCACCACTCTTGGCTTTACAGGAAGAGGAAGAGAGGCCCAACTGGCACCTGCTCTGTCCCTCCAAGATGCCCCTGCCATGCTGCCATGCAGCACAAGCCTCCAGAGCTGTGAACTGGGAAGAGGGAAAGCAACATCACTCCAGACCCAGACTGTCACTGTCACAGAAAGCCTGGGCCATCTCAGTCCGGCTTACAAGTGCTGTTCGAGTTCTCAAGATTTTGCAAACTGTTAATATCATGTCAGCAACTTAAAACAAGCCAGTGTGAGGAAGCTCACACCCCAGGATTAGATGCAAACCAGGCCCTCCCTGTCCCACCATATATTGCAGGCTAGGGAGAGAAATGAGTCAACCTCAGAAGAAGGGGGAACAGAGCAGGGGCCTTGGTTGGTGCTCACCTGGCCCTGTCCTGGGCTCCAGGATCAGCCAAGCCACACCTCACAAGCCCCATCCACTGTCCTGCGGGCTCTGGCTGCTCCTCTAGCCATGCCTGGGCTGGCTCCTTCTGGGGACTGCCTCACCCCAAGGAGAGGGGCCCAGCCCCCACTCTGCACTGTACCAAGCACAGGGCAAAACACACAATTAGGCACATGGAGGTCACACACTGAGAAACACCCATGCTACAGTAGGCCAGGCCACTGAGTTCATGCTGCTGTGGGGCCACCTCTCGGCCTCCAGTTTGGAATGCCAAGGGTGGCTGGTCTTCAGGCAGGTGCCCCTCCTATAAAACCATGGTGACGCCAAAGGTTCCTTCTGCTTTGACAATCAAAGAGCCTGGGTTTTAAATCCTGAAGTCACTGCATTGCAGGTTGGCCTGAGCCCCTCTCTTGCTGTCTCACACCCTCTCCTTCAGCACCCACACCATAGTCCAGGCCCCATTAGCCTTTCTGCCCTCAGCCTGGCCCTCTCCTGGCCCTCGATCATACCCACCCCAGCCACCCATCCCTGGTATTGTGCCCACTGCCTCCTCATGCTCCCCTTAGAAGTGCCAACTCCTCAGATGCCTCAGGCTTACATTCAACACTCCTTCTGCTCCCATACCACTCCCACCAGAGTGCTCTGCCCGCTGTGCCCCTGCTGTCCATAGCCAGAGTGTGGAATCCCATCCATCCCATCACCCAGAGCTCCTGATCCTGTTAGCCTGCTCCAACTCCCAGCCACCCAAGAGGGCTTCCCTGTCCCTGGCCTCCCGACTATCCGCTTGCCCATCTCCTTTCTCTGCACAGGCATCTGCAAAGGGGAGTCCCTAGAATGCCTGTCCAGGTCCCTCTGCTCTCTCCCATCATGGTCTTGGAGAGAGGTGGCAAGGAGAGCCCTGAAGGTGCATGAGGAGAGTAGGGGTCTCTAAAGGGCAGTGTGAGAGCTATAGGTGGGGGAACCAGGGTCCAAGCATGAGGAACAGGCCCGGTGTCACGTAGGACAGTGGACACCGGGAGGGGGTCACTGTGGCAGGAAACAGTGCAAGTGAACTCCACAGTCTTCAGGACAGGAAGAGTCACACCCACTGCAAAGGCCAGGTCAGATGGCCAGTCCTTGGTGGCAGGCCTGGCCCAAATCCCTGAGGGTGGAGGGACAGGAAACCGTGCTGGCACTAACTCTGTGGGCAGGCTGCAGGGAGCACTCCAAAGAAGGGCGTAAACTGCTCCCAGCTGCGCACAGCTTTATAAGAGGACCAAGCAGGGAAACACTGAGAAAAGAACTGAAAAAAGCCACCAAAGTATCCGTGAAGGGTATCTCTGAGGAGTGGCACTGTGGGTGTGTTCTTTTTTTTCTTTTTAATGTCTCTGTTATCCCCCGTTTCTGGGTTTTACCTAATTCTCTGGGATAAACAGTATTATTTTGGCTGGGGATTTAGTTCAGTGGTTCTGGTGCCTGCCTCCTAAGTGCAAGGTTCCGAGTTCAATTCCCGGTACCAAAACCCCCCCCAAAACAACCAGTATTATTTTGACCAGCAAAGGTGTTCATGGTTCCTGTGTAATCCAGTGACAGCATTTCTCCTGGGCCACTGCAGCAGGCAGCCCCTGTTCCTACCCCCTGCTCCCCTCTCTCCCTCCCCAGGTTCTCTTGATCACTGTCCATGGCTAACCTGAGCCTCCATCCCCACGGGTGGGACAAGGGGCTCAGGCTTCAGAGACCCCTGCCAAGAGAACAGAGGTTGCTACAACTATTCCTGTTTCAATTCTTTCTTCCTCAGCTGAGAGGAGGGAACCAAGCAGCTGGAGGAGGTGGGGCTGTAGGGAAAGGGAGGTCAGGGCCTCACCAGCACTGGGCAGGAGTGTGGCACAGGGGCTGCCACCCTCCTGGAGATGGGTTTCTCCATCTCACTGCACAAAAGGCCCTGAGGCGCTGTATCTGAGCTGGGGGCCAGGCGGGGGTTGGGGAGCAGGTATCCAAGGCCATTTGAAGGGCCAGTCTCCTCAGTGACAGTTGGCATACTGTCCAGCTCCAGCACTGCCCTGAAGCATCCACCACAGCCAAGTGGCGATCAGAGGCATGTGGCCCTGTGGGAGGAGACTGTCCTGCACTCAGTACAGTTTGAGGCCACGGGCTGCACTCCCCGGGGCTCTCTCCACTCCACCAGCCCTTTCCCCAGCAAAGCCTGAAGGCGCTAGGGCTCCCCTCCTCTTCCTGGATCCCCAACTCAAGAGATGGCTAAGAAGAAAGTGTTTCCGCCAGGGTGTGGCCAGGAGAGGCCCCTGGGGCTCCTAAAGCAGTGCTTCCCACCCAGCTCTGAGTCACGCACTTGTCCCCAGTCACCATCCAGACAGCACTGCAGAGGCCAGCCCTGGCTGGACACTGGTGGACATGTGACTGGCCCGAGTCACTCACCCTCTGTCACCTCGGCTACCTCATCTGTAAAATGGCAACAAGGGGCCGGGAGCAGAGCCCTGGTCAGGCTGGGGAGCTCTCTGCCCCCACCCACCCTGCGTAGCGTGGCCCGGGGCCAATTCTGGCCAAGTCCCTACACTCCCTTTTCCATCTTTACCGTTTTAGGAAATGGAAGCCTCGGGAGGTGACCTCACCCAGGGCAACACAGCAGGGGTTGGGGGCAGCCGGTTCCCAGGATTTGCCCTTTGGCTGTGACCTCAGGCAAGCGCTCCGGCCTCCTGGTTCTGTTAGTGAGGGGTCACCGTCCGCCTGTGCCTGTCCCAAAGGAGCGCCACCTGCCACCGGCCGCCGCCGCCCGCCCGGGGGGAGCACAGCGGGCTGGGACCGGAGACGCCCGACGGCGCTGCCGAGCGAGGGAGCGCCGCAGGGAGCCGGACCAGGGTGGGGGGCCGAGTCTGCCCAGCAGGGGTCCCCCGCCGAACGACGCGGGCCGTTACCTTCCCGTCATGGTGCCGCCAAGCCGGCCGCTGGACTCTCGCCGCCGCCGGACTCTCGCCACCGACCGCCAGCCGCGCGCCCCTGCTCTCGAAGCACAGGAGCTGACGCCTAAAAAGACCAGGGCGGCCCCGCCCGGGCCCGCGGAGGGGAGGGCCGCGGGGGCGGGGGAGGGGATGGGGAGAGCAACCCGCTCGCTCTGCACCGGCTCCCGAGGACACCGAGCTCGGCCGCGGGGCCGGGCATGGCCTTGCCACCCGGGCTTGCGGGCCACCTCCCGGATTCCGGACATAGTTTTCCTTTTAAAGGGAGTGAAGTTACAACAAACACGAACGAGCACCCCCATCCACCGTCCCAGGACCGCGAACACTTGTGAACACTTGCGGGGGGTTGTCCCGGGAGGACGCCGCACCAGGGAGGTCAGAGGCGGTGCTTTACGCGCGAGGAGACCTTCCTGGACAGACTCCCTCCTGAGACAGCAGGGACCCTTGTCCATGCAACGCCGTGCGCCCGCCCTCGAGCCCTCTTCTGTGGCAAGCGAACTGTGCGTATTTGAATGCCAGGTCAGGGCTCTCCCCAGGAAACACCCATTTCACCCAAGCAAGTGGAGAGGCACTAACTCGGCAGAAAGTGTTTTTAAAAGGACAAAACCCAGAGCAGAGAACCAGCAACTCCTTTCTATAATGAAGCACTACTGACAAGAAACAGTAAGAGATGTTAAAATGATCAGCAATATAAAATCACTTAAGGACTCTTCTTGAAAAAATTATTAGACAAAAAATAATCTTCACCTATATATAAAGACAGATCTGTAGTTCTACAGGAGGTAGAGTACAGCACATGATTGGTAACAGCTCAAATGTCACACGTGGGGCCAGGGCTGAGCTGCCTGATATCCTCAGGGATAAATGTTATATTACCTGTCGTGCTGGCAACCAACAAAGACTGTAGAAATGACCAAGCAAAGCAGCCAGCCACAGATTAACAGCAGCAACCCGAAGGATGAGCTGACAGCAGCAAGAATTTCCCTCTGCAGAAATAAACTTGGAGAGACATTTGTTCTCCAGGAGCTGAGCCTTGAACTGAGCAGGTATGCAGTTGTTATTTCTGTTTGCATCGTCTTAGCCTGTTCTGCTGAACTGGAATCTGATGGCTGGTTAAGAATAAAGCACAAATGATCTCTTGGTTCTCCATTTGTATAGGCAGAGAGGCTTTCTACAACTTCCAACTCAGAGGAGCAGGCACACTGGGGCTGTCCAGCAGAATTGGCGGCCACACAGTTAATCAAATATTGAGGTCTTGTGGGAACCAAAGAAGATGAAAAATAGGAGGTAGGAGAGCAGAGGCCCCCCACTGTCTCCCTATAGGACCCTACCCCCCTCTTTAGCTTAAAAGTCTCCCTTCATCCACTACCCAGAGCTCACCTTTGCTGGAGACAGAGCCAGCAGCCTACAGGGCAGCCCAAGGTCAGATCTGCAGGAAGGAGGAGGGGTCATCCAGATGATGGTCATCCACTCACTCACCTGCCCACCCAGGGAATAGTTGCAACAAACGGTGCTGGAGGGACAGAGAGCAAGAAGGCAGGGACCAGGCTCTCACGGGGTTCATCTGGAGGTGGAGGCAGACAGTAAATAAATGAATAAATAAACAAGCAATCTTGTTCTGTCTCCCTATTTATCTCCCTATTTCCCAGGCCCCCACAGCAAAGGCTGGTGTGTCTGGAAAACAAGGAGGCAAGGGGCCTGGGAAACAGGGAGAGGGCCCTGGGGGCCAGAGCACCAGGGCTTCAACAGCTCGGACCCCACCTCTGCACGGTGGGAGCAGTCTCAGCAAAGTCAGGCACTACACTCTGGAGCTTCTGAGACTCGAGTACTTCCTGAGTCCTGAACGGAGCAGCTGCTCCACCGATGTCAGTTCTAGGAAGGGCAAAACTAGTCCATGGTGGGAAAAATCAGAGTGGTGGTTGTCTCCAGGAAGTGCATGGGCAGGGGTGGACTGGGAAGGGGCCTGAGGGAACCTACTGGTAACTTTCTATAAATTCCTAGAGATGCAGGTCACACGGGTGCGTATGTGTTTGTCACAGCTTGTGGAATGTATGGTTAAGGTATATGTGTTGCCTGAGGTAGAACTAGCACTGGGGGCAGCTGAGTTGGAGGGCAAGGGCTGGGACTGGGACGGGAAAGTGAGGATGCCCAAGCTGAAGATACCCTCTTTTGGGCTGGCCCGAGGGAAGGAAGCAGAAGTCCAGAGTGGGCGTGTCAGCCCTGGAGAAAACCTTGAGTCCATAGCTGGCCAGCTGAAGCTCCTGGAGGTGGAGTTAGTCACAATGGCGGCCCAGGAGGAAGGGAGCACGGACGGTGTGGTGGCCGCCAGCGGGGTGCAGCTCTCAGCCAGGGAAGGCACTGAGGGCCGTGACGGGGTGCCGAAGATGCTACCACTGGGGATCTCTCTGCCTCAGGTGGAGCTGACCAGCTTTGGGGGGATGGGCACCCCGGGGCAGCAGGCTGAGGGCACACCACCTTCTACAGAAGGCACCACCAGCTGCACGGTCCAGGTGCCTCAGGTGAGCCTGTCTTGGCCTGGAAGCCAGGCAGCAGGTGGTGAGCTGCTGGTGGGTGAAGGCATCTTCAGGATGCCCATGGTGACCATGCCCCAGCTTGAGCTGGATGTAGGGCTGAGCCAAGAGGTGCAAGCGGGTGAGGCAGCTGCAGGTGAGGGTGGGCTGAGGCTGAAGTTACCCACCCTGGGGGCGGGGGCTGGGGCAGAGAGGGCAGAGGATCAGACCCCTGGGGCCGAGCGCACCTTCCACCTCTCACTGCCTGATGTGGAGCTCTCGGCACCCACTGTGGGCAGCCATGCCGAGTACCAGGTGGCAGGGGGTGATGGGGAGGCTGCACACAAGATGAAGGTGTGGCTACCTAGGTTTGGCTTGGTGCAGGCCAAGGAGGGGGGTGAGGAGGGCGAGAAGGCCAAGAGCCCAAAGCTCAGGCTGCCCCGAGTGGGCTTAGGCCAAAACGACTCTGTCCCTGGAGAAGGCTCCCCCAGCCCCAAGGAGGAGGGGGAAGAGAAAGAGGGCACTGGGGAAGGGGCCTCGGAACGCCGGGGGCAAGTCAGGGTCCGCTTGCCCCATGTGAGCCTGGCAGCCCCTTCTAAGGCCTCTCAGGGGCAGGGGGCTGAGGTATCCCCCAAATCTCCTGTTGGTGAGAAATCACCCAAGTTCTGCTTCCCCAGGGTGGCCTTAAACCCTAAGGCCCGGAGTGGGGGACCAAGAAGAGGGTGGCTTCAGAGTTCGGCTGCCCAGTGCGGGGTTTTCAGAGACAGGGCCTCCAGGCCTTACCAGGATGGACGGGGCCCAGGCAGCTGCCGTCTGAAGCCCTGGGCAGGTGGAGACTCCTCTCTTGCTGAGATTAGGAGCACTAACCCTCAGAGGGCTGGGAGGTGGGAAGCTGACAAGGGCAGGGGCAAGAGGCCTGCCTTTCTCCTCTGCAGAAGTGCCTGTACCGTGCCAAGCCATGTGAATAAAAAATCCAGAGGGAAACAAACAAACAAACAAACAAAAAGATATATGTGTTGCCTTGTTTGTAAATTTTGCTTCAAAAGAAATCTGAGTAACAGTGAACTCTGGTTAATGATGTGCATGCTGCAGTATTAAGGTGAAATGGCCCTGATGTCTGTAACTTACTTTGGAATGTATGTTAAAATCAAGATGAAGCTAGACACGGTGGTGCATGCCTATAATCCTACTCTGGGAGGCTGAGGCAGGAGGATCATAAGCTCCAGTCCAGTCCTTGATTTGGCAGCGCATATACAAGTTCCAGCCCAGCCTGGGCAATTTAGCAAAACCCTGTCTCAAAATTTAAAAAAAAAAAAGTGAGGGATATAGCTCAGTGCAAAGGCCCTGGGTTCAATTCCAGTACAGGGGAAAATAATCAAGCTGAGTAGCTGGAAGGATCAAGGGATGGACAGGGAAAAGGAATCCGCTAAAATATTCACAGGAGACTCTAGATGGTGGGTATCTGAGTATTCAGTTGATGAGTGCTTGAAGGTTTTCACAGCAGAATGTCAGGGGGAAAGTCTCCCTCATGGCTTCATGAGGTTTGCAGTGGGTGCAAGAATTTCGAACTCAGGAGAGCTGGGTGATACCTTGGGCCAAGGGGCATTTTCTGCATGAGTCAGTCAGATACAAGGCCTATCTTGCAATTGATGGGATTTGCTGAGGATTTGAATGTGGACATGGCCAGCCTAGGCCTGAAAGTTGGCAGTTGTGAAGCAGGTGTATGTGTGCGTGTGTGTTTATGTGTGTGTGTGTGTGTGTGCGCGTAGTGAGTGTGGCAGCCAGGGAGCCAAGGTGCCTGGCAGATGTCTTCAGCTTTCTGGGATGTTGCTGGCAGTGGACAATGGAGACAGGTCTGCACAGGCTGAAGTTGTATCTAGGATGTTACAGCAGAGAAGCCCCTGTCCAACCCAGGGAAGGCAGTGGTGCAGCCAGGCAGGAAAGGGAACAGGTCTGGTCTCAGACATAAGTGTAGAAGGGCTAATAGAAAATACAGTGAATGTTTAGATTTTTATTTAGAAAATTTATTATAGTAAAAGACACATTGGCAAGAACAATGGGAGAAGTATGCTCAAAGTGAAAGAGATTATTTTGAGGTAGATTAATGGCAATGTGTCTTTTACTGTAATAATTTTTTAAATTTAAACATTTACCATATTTTTATCACCCCTCATTGATCAAATGTTTATGGCAATTTCTGTCAAAGAAAAACATTACAGTGAGTCTTCATCTACCTTATTCAGTGGAGCTGGTACTCTGTGTGACTTCTGGTTCTTTTCCAAAGTCAAAATGACCACGAAGGTAGACATTTCAGAAACACAAGAAAGGACTTCTAGAACTGCTTCAGAACTCAACAAGAATGGTGGGATAAAAGTGTTCAAAGCATAGAGGCGGAGAGGATTAACAGCAATACGCTTTTTACTAATAATTTTTTTTTGGTACCACTGATCAAATAATAATTTTTTAAATTTAAGTCTTCACCATATTTTTTTTTAATCAGGTGGCCTCATATGGAAGGTTTGATGCAGGTGGGGTTGCAAGTGAACCTGCCCAGAGTGAGAGGTCTGGGGAGAGGAGTGGGGCTGAGCCAGGTGTGAGATGGGAGAGGGGGAGGGACCGCGGGGAGGGAGGAGCAGGAGTGGGGCTGCGGAGGACAGAGCAGGCCAGGGGGAAGGACCCTCCCCCGACCAGATGCAGAGGGACTAGCCCCTGGGTGGCAGCGCAGACTGCGCTCCCCGCTCCCGGAGTCGGGGCGAGAGGGGGTGGGGACGTTAGAGCTGCTCTGAAGGGAGACGGGGAAAT